TAAGACAATCAGCGAATTGATGAAGTTAAATAAGAAAAAAAGTAATTCTTTTTTCAATTATTCAGAAATCGTGAGATGCGGTCTGGTTTCAATGTTGAAAAAATTACTATGTTGATTCTAAACTGCTATTTCCAAACCTAGAGACAGCAAATTTCAGAAAGCGTGGTCCAATTAATATCCTTTTTAGTGGTGTAATTCCTTTTTTAATTATTATTTTCAAAGATGAAGAAGTTGATGAAGGAAAACAGAACCGTGTTTGAAGGATTGGTAAGAAATAATAATAGTAATAAAAAACTTAAGGAAATTTTCAATGTTAAACACTTTTTAATTTTGATTCGAAATGGTCTCCATCCTCCGCAATGTATTGTCGGCGCGCTGCCGTTGCATTAAACCCGCAAAACCTGTACATAACATATGTAATATCCCACAGAAGAGATGCTCCAAAAATATGGAATACATTAAGAGTGATAATAAATTAGTAATAATGTAATATTAATTAATATTATTGATTAATATGTATTATAAATAGTACATAAATAAAAAAGCATAAAAATAAAATTAGAACAAATGTAATTAAGTTTAAGTAACCAATAAGAAAATCAAAAATTAAAACAAAAACCACCTGGATGGAGCATGATGGGACAGGGACAGAAAATAGGTTGTCATTTCAGAAGGAATTTAGATCTGTTTTCCTTATTTTACATATTCCATTTATGGCTGGTTTTTAATTAAATAAATTTATTTTTTGTGATATATATTTTATTTTATATAAGTGAAATTTATATTACGTTCTAATAATTGCATTGTAAAGTGAAAACATTTAAATAAAAAATATATATAAAAATTAAATTATCACTTTTATTTATTTTTCATTAAAAAAATTAAATTAAATAAATAAAATACTATTAATTCTTATTTGTACCTTATATTATTATTTTTTGGAGGCATTAATTATAGCAATTATACTAATCAATATTTTCGTTTTACAACATAATAACGAGTAAGTTTAAAATTGTTCCTTTAAAACCTCTGAGATCAGTAATATTTTACTTGTAGGGCCACAGCACAAACAGTAACACAATTTTCCACGGAGAGGTGACAGATGTATATCAGCGTGTTCTTCATTAGAAAAAGTAGCCAGAGTGTTAACAAGAAATCACAAGATAACTAAAAACGTTTTGAAAAGTGTAGAAACGGATAGATGAATTGTTTGGCATGAAGAAAATTAGAAATAAACAGAATGTAAGAACGAAGCAGATAAATTAATCAGTGAGAGTAATATGTAAAGATAAACAGAAACATCAACGAAACTGTAGTTTTCTAGGCGGAATTTCATTTAATTTATTACAACCCGAAATCTTTGACATAGTCAGATTTTAGCCATTTTAAATGGAGACAATTGTGATGATTTTCATTCATGTGTCATTACTTCTTTAAAATATAGAAATTTTTTGGTCGATCAATTAAATTTTATGAGTGATAGGATTTTTCCATTGGCAAGTAAAAACTACATTTTTTGCCAAAAAATCAAGTATAACTCGAAAACGGTTGGGAAATCGGTCAAAATGGAAGGTTACCAATTAAAATCTTATTATAATTTCCTACCGATTGCTACCGAGCACTGATCCAGGTCGATTTTCTGGATTGACAGCACAATTTAAAGTGTTCGTAAAAAGTGCAAAAATCCACATGTTTCCGAATTTTTGAATTTACTGATGAACGACTGAAGGCTAGAAAACGTTCAAAAAACTTGTTTAGCGTAAAATATTCTAAAAATGAGACTTAGGAAAGTTCCAAAGTTGGCCATTTTTTTCCTGCAAAAACTAGGTCGCCTTTGTGCTCGAATCCAATTATTTGTGCGTGACATTTCGTTAAAATTACCACTTCCAAAATGCTTCAAGCTTTAGTACGACGATTATAATCAGACAGATTTTGGAAAAGCACTGTCATCAGCGTTATTCCGTGAAACATGTTAATTCGTATGTCAAGAACAGGGGGCTGTATAAATTATAATCTACTATTACAATGTATGGTCCTAATAGTAATTTTTTTACATATCTTTATCGATTATCTAGTGTTTTGTTAATAATGAATGAAGCATAAGCAAATTTTTTGATGCACCATATAATAGAAGAATAATATTGTATCTTTTGAAAGGCCGTTTATCCTCTGGACTTCTAGATGGAGAGCAATAAAACTTGAAAAGTTGCAATCTTAAAAAAAATTAATGTCGATTCTCTGAGCCATTTCATGAATATATTTTCCGGACACTTAACCTATTACTGTAACGAGATCGGACTCAAATGTCTAACTATTGTTTCCCTCCAACTCGGCAAGGTTACGGTGAAGAAAACTAACTTGGCTCACTGTAACGGCGGTTCGAATTGCTTGCCGGGGGATCAGTTAGCTAGTTATGAAGTTCTGGTTACCACTTAAGGAGATTACACAGGTCCCCTCATCCTCGGCCTTTACGGGCTTGAAGACACCCCGGTAATTTCGAGGACCATTGTTAGTATAAAGGACTTAATCTAGGATCAGTCGAATAACAAGGCATACTTTTTTGCTCCCTTTTTGAACAAGTATCGTATCCAATGGAACCATTATATCTTTCCTATGATCAGCCATGAAAATTTTTTTTTCGTTTAAATAAAACTCTCTAAAATAAGGGAGCGCAGTTTGTACTCGCATTTGCCCCGTTTGAATTTCTCGGGTCGAATCCTGGTATCTTAGCACTGAACGGGTAGTTAAGCCCTTAAACCCCGGTTGACATGAAATGGTATGGTATGGTGATAAGGATACTAGGATGTGGGGTTTCTGCTCCCCAGGCACTGCAGCTTATTGTATCTTCCTAGTTCCTTGATTCAGTGTAATAGACTCAATCCTTCTCCTTATAAGTATCAGGTCATTGACTGTCGCTGCTACAATTTCATCCCCTAAGCTTTTTTCGTACGCTAGGTTGGATCTCCATTGAGCAGTTGCCTCGCATTCGAAAAAGATATGGGTGGCTGTTTCCTCCTCCTCATTACATAATCTGCAGATGGGATCATCGTTATATATGATCATGTTGTGTTGATGTTTTCTCAGATGCCAGTTACCGGTTAGTAGTCCTATCACTCTTCTAAGTTTACGCCTCTCCAGTTGCAGCAGGGATTTTGGCAGTCTTGATGAGGGTTATTTTATGGTCATAAGTTTACTATGGCACCGCTAGAGATTATCCACTTCTACTTTTTTGTTTTTGTTTGGACGATTCTATATTTGTTTTTGTTATCCCAAGTATAAGTTCGGGGCGTATGTATGGTATTGGGGATCCTCCTCTGCCAAATCTGTCTGTTTTCTCATACCGAAAATTCCTCTGTGCCTTGGCACCCAAGATATCATCAGGTTGTTCTGTTTCCCCTGGTTTTGGAGATTTTGGATGCGTTGACTGACTAATTTTGATGTAATTCTTTTATATGATAATGCTTTAATGGCTGCTTGGCTATCAGATCTTATGAGGATTTTTGACATGAAATACTTACTGCTTACTGAAATTTGTTTTTTGTTGGTTGAACCAATAATTTGGCCGTTTCCGATCATCTCTATTTTGTTTCAACAGACACAAGTACCATCGTACAATGTTCAACTAAATCAGTTTTATTACTATTTATTTTCTCGATAAAATGACAGAATCCATCGTCTGCTGACATAAATTTTAATCTATTCGAGGTCGTGGCCTGATTGACCAAATAAATTTTTTCAATTACTTGATCGTTACGTAAAATATTGGTTGAGATAACGTCAGTGTCACGAGTGGGATTCGAACCCACGATCTTCGGCTAAATCGGCCGCTGCTCTACCACTTGAGCTACAGTAATTTCGATCCACTCGGACACCAACCTCCCATATCAAGCCCACCTTTCCAATTTTTCCCCTTGTTGCTATTTTTCAAGTTAGTGTCCGAGTGGATCGAAGTCACGTTAGCCCAAGTGGTAGAACAGCGGCCGATTTAGCCGAAGATCGTGGGTTCGAATCCCACTCGTGACACTGACGTTATCTCAACCAATACTTTACGTAACGATCAAGTAATTGAAAAAATTTATTTTACCGACCTTTTTATCTCAACCAATACCATACATAAAGATTAATTAATTGAAATAAATATTAATATCGAAGCCCGAATATGCTGTAATTCCGAGTTTACAACATGACTCTCAACCTTATTGATGGTTCATAAAAATAATAATAATTATGAATATGTTTAGAGACATTTTAAGAAGTATATATTCGTTCAAACGCTATTTAGGTAAGTGTGATATTGCGTGTTTTATTTGACACTCGTTTTTTTTATTGTGATATTTAATTTGAAGCGTAATTACTTTGTAAAAGTTATTAAAACTTTTTTCTTTTAATCAGACGACTAGAAATGCTTAAATTTATGTAAGGAGAAAGTAGGCTTTAAAAAACTCTTATTTCGAAGACCGGCTACAAAAAAAAAGTTTCGACTTAATTATATTTCCTATAAAGTTAGATTGTTTGCTTTTCAAGTGTAAGCATAGATTTACATAGTTATTGAACCAACTCCTGCCGGGGGAAAATCTCGTTAGGCCAACATCGTTTAAGAGTTATACTTCGCAATTTCAAAGCTTGGGAAATAATAAAACTCCCAGGTATCCGATGGGTCCTTGAATAAGGAAGTTTCATTAATTAGCGTTTTCTGACTTTTGGTTCTCAAATTGTAGCTTTTCATCTTTCTTTTAATTGTAAAAAATTGTCCCTCTCGCGGGGGGGGGTGCAAAGACAATTTACTTTCCTTTCCTCCTCAGTTCACTTTGGTTTGGGTAATTCTTCCAAGTGTCAAGGTTTTTCCACACAGTATCGGTCTAGACTCCGAACGAGATAGACGTGTTGCTCTCAAAGGGATTAACGTTGGATCTATCTACAGATTAGAATTCGTACTAGATATTCCTCAGGGCGGGGTTGAACCCACTCAAATCTCGCTAATAACTTACTTTTATCAGTATCGGTCTAGACTCCGAACGAGATAGACGTGTTGCTCTCAAAGGGATTAACGTTGGATCTATCTACAGATTAGAATTCCAGCTTAGAAAATATTCCCTTTTCTTTTCTTTCATCCAAATACGGGTTTGAGAAGTTATTACTTTTGTTGTAAATTTTATTTTATTTTTTAATTGGAACAGTGTTTATACTGTAGACCGAAAGGTCTAATTAATTAGCCCAAACATGGGCCTAGATAGCGGGGGCTGTGCCCCTTCTAAACATAGTATATCTTTTCATGAAATCATGAGAGACGACAACTATGTTGTCAAGGAAAACAAGAGAAGTTTTTTGAGTGAATCTAATAAGTCCTTCTCTAAAGCTAAACTCCTAGACAATACAGAAATTAGATCGCGCAACGAACAGAGACGTGCTAATTTTCAGACACGCCTCGCACAAAATCGATTCGACGACACCGATATGGGTCCGTTTTATGTATTAGTCGAAAGCAGGGATAAAAATATAGGAAAGGCCCATCCGATGCTTTTCGGGAAGTGGCTGTACCAGGATCCGAATTTGAAAAATTTTGCTGGAAGCATTACTGAAATTCGCGCGACAGGTAAAAACAGGCTTAAGGTTACGGCGTCGTCCAAAGACATCGCTAATTATCTCACTGAAACAGAATATTTAAAGAAAGAAAATTTGTTTACTTACATCCCGGATTTTCTCATTAAAAAAATAGGCGTTATTCGAGACGTTGATCTAGACTTAAGTAATGACGAAATTTTGCAGCATATGCAATCCTCGGTCCAACCCCTAATGGTTGAACGTATGACCAAATTCGAAAAGTCAGGAGACAAAATTAAAATCTACCCATTAGAGACGTGTTTAATTACCTTCAAAGGTCAAAGATTACCAGAATTTATTACAATCTATGGCGGTTTATCACGTGTACGTCCTTACATCCCAAAAATAAGACAATGCAATCAATGCTTAAGATTCAACCATTCTGCCAATCAATGTAGGGGAAAGCTCCGATGCCCTCGATGCAGTGAAGAACACACTATCGAGAATTGTACCAACTCTGGCGTAAAACCAGTATGTTGTAACTGTGGTAAAAACCATTTATCCACGAGTAAGGAATGTGAAATATTTAAAACAAAATCTGAGGAAAATAAGAAAAAACATATGGAAACATCTTTTGCCTCGGTAGTATCTTCAAATAGGTTTGATGTCTTACAACACTTAACTGAAAAACAGGAAGAAGACTTTCCTGTCCTTCCATCGCCGACATCAGCAACTCCACGCCGGCAATACAGAAAAATTTTGAAAAGACCAAAATTAGGTTTCAAGGGTCCCTTTGAAATGAACCAGCCCAAAAATATCCCAGATCTGGCTCGCAAACGACCAATCACTCAATCTTTTGAATCAAATCCACTAGCCACCTCTCCCGCCGAAAAGTACGTACAAATATTAAACAATTTAGTTTCAAGTATTCAAGACAAACAAAATGAATGGTCCTCAACTGATATAATTGACAAAATAGGACTAACTCTCTACAATTTGTATGTCGAGAATCAACATATCGTTGAAAGTTTGGAGAATAAATACCGTTGCTCGGGAATGGATCTTGACAATTAATTAATAAGTAATTAAAATAATAAAATAATGTATTACAATGAATAACTCAACTAAAAATATCAGTCTGAATTTTTTACAATGGAACGCACATTCATTGCTACCAAAGAAAGATAATTTCGAAATCATTATAGAGGATCTAGGGATTGACATTGCGCTGATTTCGGAGACATGGTTGGGTCCCAACAAAACTTGCAAATTTAAGGGTTATAACTTCGTGAGAATGGATAGAGATGATGAATATGGAGGAATAGGGATATTAGTAAAAAATGGCATTCAGTTTGTCAAATTAAATACGGATCATATTCTAAAAGATTCGGCAATGGGAATAAAAATTTTCGTGGGAAACTATCCTCCATTTTCGGTCATCTCGTTGTATTCTACCAAGTACGTATCGGTTTCGGAATGGGATGCCTTATTTAAAGCAGTTCATAAACCGTGCATAATAGGTGGGGACTTTAATGCCCACCACCTGTCTCTGGGATCAGAATGGACCGATAAAAAAGGCGCTAATTTGATTGAAGCATTGCAAAACAATGACTTGGTTTTCTTGAATGATGGAACCCCTACTAAAGTAAAGCTTCCGAATCATTCAAGACGTTCAGCAGTGGATGTTACTTTGGTATCGTCAGACCTAGCTCTGTTATCTCATTGGACAATATTGGAGGATCCTATAGGATCGGATCACCTTCCAATTTATTTCTCAATTAAAAATAGCTCTCATTCTAAAATATTGAATAAATCGGGCAAATGGAATGTAAAAAAAGCAAATTGGACTCTGTACAAGGAAAAGTGGGAAGAAGATAAAATTAAATCTATCTGTTTAGTAAACCCAAGTGATTATAACATTTTTGTAGAGACAATGAATAAAGTGGGAGGAGAAAGCATCCCCTCAAATAAGGCGAATTTTCCCATATGCAAAAAACAAGGCAAACCGTGGTGGAATGCAGATTGTTTAAAAACCGTTGAAAAACGCAAAATCGCTTTCAAAACCTATAAAAATAATCCCACAGAAGCAAATTACAAAAATTTGAAACTTATTTCACTCGATGCGCAGAGGACATTCCGGGAAGCTAAACAAGAATCATGGAAATCCTTTTGTTCTTCGATTAATAGGTCTACTCCTATTAAAAACATTTGGAATAAATTAAGAGCGATCAAAAATGCCTACGCTCCACAACAGTTGCCGATGGTATATGGTCAGTGGGTTGAAAATGTTATAGCGGAACTATGCCCCCAAGGCCCAATGAATAACATCAAAGAAAAAACTGAACATGACGGTATTTCCGGGGTAATGCTTAATCCCTTTTCCTTGACAGAGCTGAATAATTCTTTAAAAAATTCAAATAACACTTCACCAGGAATGGATGAAGTACACTATACGATGCTTAGCAACTTACCACAATTTGCAAAATCATGGCTTTTAGAAATTTTTAACAAAATATGGAGAACGTCAGATGTTCCTGAACCATGGAAAAAAACTCTCACAATTTTAATCAAAAAATCAGGAAAACCCGATTACTTCCCTAACTCATATCGACCAATAGCGTTAATGTCTTGCATTAAGAAAACGTTTGAAAGAATGGTTAAGTTAAGACTAGATTGGTGGGCGGAGCAAAATAACAAACTCCCCCAAACGCAGTTTGGTTTTCGGAGAAATAGGTCTGTCGTAGATGCACAATTAATGTTAGTAATGGACATACAAATTTCCCTGTCTCACAATAAAACTGTATTGGCACTGTTCTTGGATGTGAGTGGGGCATATGATAATGTTAATCTCCATATTCTGTCTCTTAAGTTAAAAAACCTGGGTTTGCCCAACTTATTCATAACAAATATTATGTCTCTAATAACTGATAGAAAAATTTATTTCAAAATAAACAAAAATAGCAATCTTATAGGGCCAAGGACTTCCTACAAAGGACTCCCACAAGGAGGTGTACTTAGCCCTATTTTATACGCTCTATATGTCTCGGACTTAACTGAAATAATTCCTGAAGGAATTAAGATAGTGCAGTATGCTGATGACATATGTATTTATTCAACAGGCGATTCCTTAAGCGATTGTATGAACAGTTTGGTCAGTTTCGTCCCTATTCTAAACGACTGGTTAAACAAAAATGGACTAGAAATATCCGATTCTAAATCTGTTTTATGCCCATTTACTAGGAAAAGAAAAATTGATATATCAAAAAGTGTGAAAATAGGGAACTATGAATTCCCAGTAAAATTTCAGGTTAAATTTTTAGGCTTAACTTTAGACCGAAAATTGTCCTGGAAAGCTCACATTAAGACAATATTAAACAAGGGCGAAAAACTGTATAACATAATTCGCAGTTTTACAGGAGTCAAATGGGGAGTTGATCCAGCAGTAGGGTTACTTTTTTACAAATCTTCTATAAGATCGGTATTAGATTTTGGTTTGATCGTATACGGACAGGCGTCAGATACTGACTTGAGAAAATTGCAAACCTTTAACAATAAATGTATACGAAGAATCCTGGGATTACTACCAAGTACGCCAAAAGTAGTCCTTTCTGCAGAAGCAGGAGAACCCCCTCTAACAATCAGAATACAAAAATTAGCCTTAAATAAATTAATAAATTTACAACATTT